AAACCCCATTCATGTAGAGTTCAACTTCCATATGATAAAGGCGGTTAGAACTCGAGATAAGAAGGCGTCCACTGTCTATAATAGATTATCATAGTTTACGCTCGTCGATTATTTATTTTATTATTATTATTAATATTATAACAAGCAGATAATTATGAGTAAAGATTCCAGTCTAGCCCTCACAACATTGTCAGTCCTTCAATAATCGATTTCCAAATGAAACCTGTTTGATTTCACGCTTAGAGATCCAGTAGTAAATGTCACTATCACATTGCATAGATGGAATGTTTATTCACATTCGGTGTGCTATTTTAGTTAGTGGTTTGAAGTAATTGCGCTACAGCTAGTTAACAGTACTAGCTTTTTCTCAACAAGATATACATAATTAAATACAGGTACAGTTTTGTTCACCCCTAATGTGCCCCAAATTGCAGAGTGCAGACACCAAACACAACATCGCTAGGTGAGCACGAGTGAACTGCGCATGCTCGGTTTAGCGTGTTACGTCAATCAGCAGACAGCAATGACGGTTACACAACAACACCGCCAATGTTATTATTAGGATTCATACTATTATGTCGTAACAACAGAAGAAGCAGAATATCAACAGGCGACTGAATACCTAGCAGCAGCTACAACCGGCGTATAATCGAATCTGTGTATCCGATTATAATCTAATTGGGCCAATTTATCATTAATGGAAGTGTAAACATGCACATTCCCATTTCTGTCTTCCCATACATTCTCGATAGATTATTCTGGCTCAATTGTAATTGGACTTTTTACCGCGTCGTCGTTCCAGTTACGACCTCTATTTGCCATCAGATAAATCGAGTTGTTTACACTATATGAGTATACACTACTAAAGTGAGGATCAAAAATCAAATTGCAGCCACAAATTTAGACGCTACTGTGCTCTTACGTGACCCAATCAAGGCTATGCGCATACGTATATCGAAATCTAGCTCGCGTCTGGCCCACCTCGATTCGTGGGGCTGACTCGTACCGTCTGGACTAGCGCGTATTCATGGCCGAGAAGGCGTGTACACGCTGCAAAAGATTTGTCTGGGCCAGGCCTGGACTGCATGATATAGGATCAAATTTGTAGTCTGTATGGGGTACTAGTAAATGGTTCGTGTAATGACGTCACTGGCATCATATGAATTAAGTGGCTTCCTCGGGATTCTGGCGCAAGACATCATCACCTACGCACCCGAGCCTAATTATCTACGCTTATTTCGCATTAGAGATGGTTTCTATCGATTCCACTACGGATAATTCACTATCAAGCGGGGTCAGGTAGCGAGCAGGGAAAGTGTGTGTATATGTGGGTGTGTGTGTGTGTGTGTGTGTGTGTGTGTGTGTGTGTGGTGTTGTGTGTGTGTGTGTGTGTGTGTGATGTGTTGTGTGTGTGTGTGTGTGTGTGTGTGTTGTTGTGTGGTGTGTGTGGTGGTCGTGGTGTGAGTGGTGTGTGATGTGTGCTGTGTGTGTGGCGTGGTGTGTGTGTGTGCTGTGTGTGGTTGTGTGTGGTGGTGTGTGAGTGAAGCGTGCGTGCGTGCGTGCGTGCGTGCGTACGTGCGTGCGTGCGTGCGTGCGTGGTGTATTATGTGCGTGCGTGCGTGCGTGCGTGCGTGCGTGCGTGCGTGTGTGCGTGTCTCGTGCGTGCGTGCGTGCGTGTGTGTGGTTGTGGTGTGTGTGTTGTGTGTGTGTATGTAAAGCTGTGATTTACTAGGTAGTGATTACGTTGTACATAATGTTAAATGTTAAGTCGTACAATTTTGTATTCGATTCGGCTCCAGATATTACTGCGGACTTGATAGAATGAAAACGGCTGCAAACAACGCGCCTATAAGAATTGCCTTTCGCGTATAAATGTGGTAAGCATGCCCCCGTTTATTGAGAGAGAGAAGAGTGTGCGAAATGTATTACCATCGATAGTGCACTGCTTTGTCGTTGTACGATCCGTCCTTCTTACAGCTCGGTGTCCGACGTCTTGAGTAAGATGACCGATGCAATGTGGCGAGAGCAGGATGGCTGCTGACACGTCGTGAGGTGACGAGCCGCGTCGTAACGATGCCTTCCCAATCCTAACGGAAAGGACAAGGCCGCATACACGAGAGTCGCATTAGTTTCTTCAAACGTAACTCGAGTATACAATACCACACAACGCGCGCGCGCGCCAGACACACGCACATACAAACACACACAACACAACACAACACAACGTACGCACGCACACACACCACACACACACACACACACACACACACACACACACACACTCTACCTCTTCTCACGCGGCTGCGCGCACGCATACGCACACTCCCCCTCCCACACACACACACACACACACAACACACACACACCACACACACACACACACGCGCGCGCGCGCGCGCACACACAACACACACCACACACACACACACACACACACACACACACACACACACCCTCGCCCACTCTCACACGCACACATCGCCCTCACGCGCTTCTGCTTCGTCGCTCGCATCGCGGGTGCGATAGCGCAGTGCACGCAGCCTATACCTCGTTTTAGTCGTAAACGCATCAGCTTGTTGCTCCTCATGTGGGAGCGCGATGAGGGATTAGGTGGGACCAGCTCATCCGTGTATGCTTCTCGCGAGACGCAGCGGCCTATGCCTTGCACCTGGCTGATCACTTCCTGGCAGGCCAATCCATAGTCACAGGTGGCGGCCATGATCGTCACAAAGTTACCCGTGCCAGTATGACACATTTCTCCAAGTTGCTGAAAGAAATACGACATGCAACAGAATCAAACACGCACACACGCGCGCGCATGCACGAGTTCGCACACCGATACATGTACAGTCACACGCAGACGCGCGGACGCAGTTAATAAAGGTGAATAATGTAAAGAAAAAAAAAAGATTAGAGTAAATAATAATTGTTACTAGTTTAATCCTAATACACACACGCGACTACACACACACGCGCGCGATCACACATACACGCACGCGCGTGTGTGTGTGTGTGTGTGTGTGTGTGTGTGTATGTGTGTGTGTGTGTGTGTTGTTGTGGTGGTGTGTGTGTTGTGTGTGTGTGTGTGTGTGTGTGTGTGTGTGTGGCACGCACTTCTATCACGTGCGTGCGTGCGTGCGTGTGTAATATTCTATTTTTATAGTGATAATCATATGGAACTCAACAAAGCTGACGACTCAGTCTACGCGAAAATGTGTATAAGCGGTATTGAGCCTTACAGCCTTGCCTAAACCTTAAGGTAAAGTCGATGTAGTGCAATCAAGTATCGCTGCCGTAATTTATTATACGTGTATTATATGGCTTAGCCTTGTTACGACTACTCAGGTTAGCAAGAATATAGCGTCGACATTCAGGTAAGCCATCTGCATTCAGAAAGCTCGCGTATACATCAGATTCCGCGCGGGTTCTCGCCACTATGTGGTTTAACAACCTAGTAGTAAATCCGCGGATGGGAAGCTTTCCATACCGTAACGAGCATTGACACCTCAGTTATCATGACTTAAGGCAGATTCGCCCACACTCGCGTTTGGAAAAGATGGCCACTATGTTTTGCGAGCTTACCCACGCGCACTCGATATGGTTTTATCCTAACATGCAGTCAAGGATTTTCGTTTGCCGTGAAAATATTTCCGTCTACTTTGGTAGCACAAAACAAGCACCGCCAAAACATGACAAAAATAAGGCACAAAATGTCGGTGGCCAAAATCTTTCGAGCCTAATGTATATAAGTTGATGATTTTAGGCGATATGAAAACGATCATGTGTGCGTTCGGCAGCATTCTCAGGACATTCTAAAACCTTGGCAAGTTTCGACTACCGATGTTTGCGACGTAATATTTAGCTATCTGTTAGGTAAGCCATTCGTAGCCGATATGCTGTTGTGGCTCGCAGAATTACGATGACGCACGTGCTAATAAGCGATTTTCTGATGATATTCAACGAAGGAGCGTTAGGGCGTTGAAAGCAATCACCGCGCCGTATCCAATTATGAAGCAGTTAGCTCGAGGAGTCAGGCCCTTATCAATATGATTTCATCCTTGATAGAATGTACGCCTCGTCGCAAGCATACGCTGTTAGCATCTCAAAATATCGAGATCGCTGTTGCACCTATGTATCGGTGCGTGCCTGCTAGTATATATATAATATATATTATATATATATATCAAAAAGCCC